AGCTGCCGCGCAACGTGTAGCGGGTTTGATTCCCGCACGGAGCACAAACTCCGCGTGCGTTGTGTTGCGTTGCATTTGTGCTCCGCGCGGCATTTATTGCAGTGATCCACAAATTATAGTTTCGGGTCTGGGTGTCATAATATATGTGATATTGTATGTTTATAAACGCACCCACGACACAGGAGAAAGCCCTAGTGTGTGGCAACGTTTTAAAAAAAATACAGTAGGTATTAAGTACATTATGGAACATGTTAAGCTGTTTACTAAACCAAATTCAAACCATCAAATATTCAATGAAAACATCTCGAAACTCCATCCTTAGCCTATTGCAGTATTTCCATATGAATTCCGTAGCGTAATTGCAGTTCCTAATTAAATGCGGAAAATATAATTAAAAGTGAATCGGCGAGGAATGCGTCGGTATTCCGTCGTGCCTCTCTTTATTGTGAGATTCTAATTTTTTTTTAAATTGAAAGCAGATTAGAGACTGGCCTTATTAAAAGTTGTGTGGATTTTAGTTCATACTAAAACTACTCTGAGATTTAACTGATCCCCCTTTATCCGTATAATGTTTTAAATCCTTTTTTGCTCTGTCTGGTGCGATTCGTAAATTAAAAGTTTTATGTTATTTAAAGTGCTTGTACGAGATCATAGCTACTTTGAGTTTTTGTTTTTTTTTGGCTTATCCTTTTTTGATGTAATTTTCAGCATTACTGCGTCGTTGGCTGAGTGTTCGCAAGTGCGATTGCCGGACACGAGGTCTCGAGTTCAATTCCCAGGTCGGGCATAGTATTAGGTATTGAGGTTTTAGAATATCTCAGTAGTAACCCAGAGTTTCGAATTGTGTCCGGTATATGGTAATAGGACCCCCACACCCCCTATTACACGGAGCTTATGACATAAATAGCGTAAAGTGGGTGTTACATTGTACCTACGGTGGCATTAAGTGCTTTAATGTGCAACTCTGCCTACCCCTTCGGAGATAAAAAGCGTGATGTTATGTCATATATGTACTTAAAGACAGGAAATGATAACCATAAAAAAAATCTTCCCGAAAATGAATGCAAGCAGAACACTGCTTAATATTCCAGCAGTTCATCTGTAGTTATTATTCGTCGGCCCAGGAGGTGTCTCCTTGCATTTTAATGCAGGTACACATTAATATGCAGCGAGAGGGGGTGTGACTTGCATTCCAGACGAAAGATTCGTGATTAAATATTGACTGAACATGTTAATTGATGCCTTTGATTAATTGATAATCTTTAATTAATATCAGCACCATATGATTTGTCCAAAAAATTGTCTATTCACAAAAATATAACAACATAACATTAAATCACGTCTTTTATTCCCGAAGGGGTAGGCAGAGGTGCACATTATGCCACTGTACAATGTAACACCCACTTTTCACTATTTACGTTATGAGTCCCGTGCAATAGGGGGTGAGCCTATTGCCATATACCGGGCATAATTCTAGACTCAGTGCAACTACTGAGAATATTTTAAAAGACCCAGTAATACTTTGCACGACTCGGGAATCGAACCCGAGTCCCCTTGCCCGGCAGTCGCACTTACGACCACTCGGCCAACGAGGCAGTCTTCATCAGCTTAATTACATTTTATTAGCGACCATTATTATGCGCTTATTTCAAAGATTTATTTTTAACTGATTATGAATACCACAGTATATTATTATGTTTCATAAAAAACTAATGCTGAACTTTTATGTTTAATATAAGTTATGGAGAATAATGGCCTAAGTTTAAATAGGTAGGTACATACAAGATTCTTTATTATAAAGTAAAATAGTTTTTATGATAGGTACATGACCTTTTTATTTTTATTTACAAAATAAAAATTAAAACAACTGCTGTTCACTCTTATTTTAATTAATGTTATTGTAGTCTGAAGCGACTGATAGTCGTAATTGTTTAACACGTATTACAGTACGTGTTGAGTTTAAGTAAAATACTCAACTCTAACAATAAAGGTACCTATATCTATTAGAAACTGCACAGTACAATGGTATGATGGTTGAGCGGTCGCGACATTATTGTGTGTATGGGCCGGCTCGACCGGAGTGATACCATGGCCTCACAGAAAACCGACGTGAAACTACACTTGCGTAGAGTTTCGTCGTGTGAGTGAGGTTACTGGAGGCCCAATTGCTCCCCACCGTAAGTACGTAAGCAACCATCCGCAAATTCCTAATCCCCAACAGGCCGATAACCGATAGCTTATTATCAGTTGATCTGTCACCTTGTTTACCGGCTTATGCCATAAAAAAAACCAGAGGATTTTTGCATTCATGCACATTTCTACAATAAATCAACGTCCAATACATTTAACTTTTACTCTGTAATACTTTATTCTTGACGTTTATTAATCTAATAATCCAGTGTGCATTAAGATAATGAATTAAAAGAATAATAAATGGTACAGTCCGACGTTTGATCTTTAATGATTAAATAAGGGTAAATCTTGTCTAAATTTAAAAGAATATCCATTGTGGATGTACAGAAACGTATAAAAAGATATATGTATAATGTATACTGAGCGGTATTATGGTCACGATTAGTTTATTTCAGACGCCGTAGAATATATTTATGTTTTTTAAAATCATTTTCATTTTGGATGCACTTGTTAACTTTAACTAAAAATGACAAGTTACATTTTTTTTATAGCTTACTAGCGACGCGCCACGGCTTCGCACGGTTGCAATATGCATGTATTATACATATAAACCTTCCTCTTGAATCACTCTATCTATTTTTTTTTTGGGACAAGCCCGCCACAACCTCCCAAAACCGCTGCAACTCCTGTAAGCCAGGATCTACAGTAGATACAACCATTAAAACACCAGAACATTGAAGTCCGGCGCGTCCCTGGGACATGAGAAACTGTCTTGGTTCCCGCAACGAAGTGAATCAGAAGATATTATAAGAGGAGAAGAAGAAAAAACTATAGTTTCCACTTCCCTCGGTGAATTACTGCAGGAGACAGAATGAATTAAGCCTAAAGGCACAAAGAAGAGACTCACTCTATCTATTAAAAAAACCGCATCAAAATCCATTGCGTAATTTCAAAGATTAAAGCATACAAAGGGACATCAGGGTATCACTCCGGTCGAGCCCGTCCATTCGTGCCGAAGCATGGCTCTCCAACACGTAAATATAATGAGAATAGCTCTACTAGTTTCGAGTCACAGTGGGACTCTTACACACCTATTGAGCTGCGCGACATTGCCGTGATCGCGCAAGCTGGTTATGAGAAAAAGTCCCTCTACCTTTCTGAAAAGTAAGCCAGTTTATATTCACTCTAATCAATATGAGGTTGAACATTTCTAACGCAATCTTCATCTTCTATTTTTCAATATATTTTAAAAAAATCTCACGTCGCAAAACTTATGGGTTTGGATCGTGCCTAATAGCGATCCATTCAAGAGTAATTCTATCAAATTGGGGTATTGAAGATGTTATATTCCATTTTTTTTTTCTACCGTAAATTGCCCCATCAATGCTATGTGGAGTTTCAAACGCGATATATGAGAATTCGATCTTTATTACCCATGTGGTAGGGAATATTTTTCAATGATTACTTTTGAAAGATATTGATGTGTGCCAATTTATTTGATGTAATGAACAATGAATTCACATAAAATACGTTATTTTTGTGACATTATGTTACATGTTGGACTTCCGATCAAATCAGCCAATTTGTGTTGAGTTATTTAATGGCTGTCATGGTTCAGGGAACATGTATTTAATTGTGGTCGTTATTTAGGGTCCAATAATAAAAACACGTTTTTAACGTAGATACAGCGTATCCAATTAAATAGAAGAATAAGACAATCTACCATTTAATTAGATACTAGTTAGATAGCGGCAATATCCAAAAGTAGCAACATTTCGTTTCATTTAAAATATCACTGACTGCCTCGTTGGCCGAGTGGTCGCAAGTGCGACTTGGGTTCGATTCCCGGGTCGGGTAAAGTTTACTGGGTTTTTAAAAATTCTCAGTAGTGGCACGGAGTCTGGAATCGTGCCCGGTAAATGGCAATAGGCTCATCACCTATTACATAGGACTCATAACATAAATAGTGAAAAGTGGATGTTACATTGTACAGTGGTATAATGTGCACCTCTGTCTACCCCTTCGGGGATAAAAGGTGTGATGTTATATTATGTTATGTTAAAATACTACGTTAAAATCAAAAGTTAATTGTGATTCGTGAGAACTTTCAAAACCAAATGCCAACACCGAAAGCTATTAAAAACACAAGTTGAAATAATTCGTCGATAAAATAACAAAATCCAATGTAAAATCCGCTGAAACTTTGCGTCTGAAAGCCAACCAAGTTTACAGTACAGCCAATTTAAAATTTCACCGGTGCACGAAATGAAAGTTTCAGGGAACTACCTCTATTCTTCACATACTCCTGAATATTTCGTTATATTTTCATAACACTTATTGCAAATGGATAAAGTTCTGGCTAAAGTACATCGATTTCTCCGATCGACTGTACAGAATTCGCTGAACGTAATTAAAGTTTTCACTTACTGAAGTGAGTTAGTTTTCAAGAAAATCGTATGAACTATGAATACGAAACGATAGTTGAATGAAATCTCTAGAGAGTTGAAGTAATAGCGGTGTGCACTGTTCAGTGTTCACGTTTTTTATTCTGGTATAATAGTCGCGGAAAACCTAATGGGTAACCGGGGCTCCGGCTCGACGTGTAGGAGAAGTAACGGGGTGGTTTTTAGTCAGTAAGAGTCTGACACTCCCTCCCGCCTCACCCAGGCGGGAGCAGTCATTCGATGATTTTCCCCCCTTAAAAAAAAATTCTGGTATAATATTATGTGTATAGACGTATTGCATATTCATTATTGCATTCATTTGTTTGTTTAATGAAATCATTAAACCGTACAATTTGGTTTTTAGTGATGTTTATACATGTAGGTAACAGATACACCTTATTAAAATACCATAAATATTTCCAGAAGACCCGCCATTCCCGACGTCCTCGGAATGGTACGACGGCAACTGTTCGTGGGTGGACGCCGTGGCTTGGGGCTGCAACGGCACCATCAACGGCACCAGCACCAACTCCACCACCACCGATGTCACGTCGTTCGTCCTCATGGCTGTTACCTCTGTGGTGCTAGCTCTTATCATTCTTGCTACTATTGTAGGTGAGTGAGATTCTTTCAATATATTATTTATACGTGTATTACATGACGCACGGTATTAACGCTATAACATGCACCAAGTAGTATAACGTCACATTTTCACATGCATAACATTATTTATCCCCGATGGGGTAGGCAGAGGTGTATATTTTGCCACTGTACAATGTAACCATCCACCTTTTACTATTTATGTTATGAGTTCCAAGTAATAGGGGGTGCTCATATTGCCATATACCGAGCACAATTCCAGACTTCGCGCTACTACTGAGAATATTTTTAAAAAATCCAGTAATACTTTGCTCGACCCGGGAATCGAACCCCTTGCCCGGCAGTCGCACTTCCGACCACTTGGCCAACCCGCATTGAGCAAGCGTGGTGATTAATGCTCAAACTTTCGCCGTATGAGCAGAGACTTTGCTCAGCAGTGAGCCTTTATAGACTGAATGACTATAATCTACTTATTTATCATGCCAATCTTTTGTTATTGATACAGACACTGACTGACTAATCCAGGTAAAGAAATTCTAAGTTTAATCTGAAGTAGTCCTTACATTTGGCCATCGATTAGTGTTTTAATATGGAAATTGTCCTAGGACAATCTTAGTGAGGGGCTTGTAAAAGAAGCTTTTAAGCCTAATAACACTCGCGCAGAACCTAACGGGTTATCGGGGCTCCGGCTCGACGTGCAGGAGAAGGAACGGGGTGGTTTTTAGTCAGTAAGAGTCTGACACTCCCTCCCGCCTCACCCAGGCGGGAGCAGTCATTCGATGATTTCCCCCCCTTAAAAAAAGCCTAACAACACAAAAACTAGGAAAATACTGTCTGAATTCCAACTACCTATTTTAGCAAAGAACAGGATATAGACAGATTACCATATATTTTCCCGGTATACCTTTTCAATAAAAACATGCGAAAATAAGCCTTATTCAGCCAGTTTCGTATCTATCAAAGCTATAGCTAAAAGTAATTTTACTTAGCATTTTTTTCCAAACTATTATTATTCAATACATATTGATTACCTCAAAACCCAAACTATATTCTTTACAGTACGTGCCATTGGCTAACAAAGGCCTCATCCGTATTCTACTTAAATGATACCAGTTCTTAAAGGATTATCTAGAAACTTCGAGAACAACTTACAAAGAACTCTTTAGACCTCATTCTTTGATATACAAAACCCGTCTTTATCTGAACGGCATAAGCATTATTTTCGATGTCAGCATTAATTCCTTTTTAAATTGATCCCTACAAATGTACCCACATTTCATCGTCAGACAACTTCACACACACACATCAAAACTCTTAAAGAACCGAAAATACGAAATAAATAGCTTTTATATTCACAAAATTCGCATTTAGCACCTCTCAGCCATAAAAGATCGAATCTTTGGGTACATCCATCACTTTCAGACGATTATGGTCCTTACTCTTATAGGTGTAAGGTGTGTATTCGCGAATATTTATTGGAGGAAACGGCGTGTAAATTTCTATTGTAATAAAGTTCTTTGTACACTTTTTTTTCTAATCAAAATGATATGAAAGCGGGTTTAGGTTGTATTATACTGACTGACAGCCAAATTGGAGGTACTAACGATGTATGGGCTTTCAAAGGATGATATTCCAGTGTGAGACGTTAAGGAGCTATAGGTCCATAGAAAAGAAATCAATCTGAACTTGACTTCTATATGAAACGAATTTGATGAAGCCGTCAAACTTATTTACAATGAATCCATTGGTGTAGTATGTATTAGTTACAAGGTTCCTTTAGACAGTAAATGAACTAGACCAGGACTGTCCAAACTATATACATACTCTCATGGGCTAATTAAATTTCTTACAAAAGCTAAAGGGCCATTAAAATATTTTCAGTTGTATAATGACGTTTAACATTGTATTCCTTACTCACAGACAAAACTTGCATTTAAATAACACACTAAATTTTATTAATGTTGTTGCACATAAGATGAAAATGTTTAGATTAAAATGCGGCCCGCGGACCTTTGTTTGGACAACCCTATACTAAACATGTCTCCGATTCGACGTGCAGGAGAAGGAACGGGGTGGTTTTTAATCAGTAAGAGTCTGACACTCCCTCCCGCCTCACCCAGGCGGGAGCAGTCATTCGATGATTTTCCCCCTTAAAAAAAAAATACTAAACATACAGTTCTGTTTCTGTATTGAACATTATGTGTGATTCCATTTCATAAAACAAACCTTTTACATGCATAGATTGGTGGTAGGTTCCTCAACAAACCATTAAATAGTTTGCAATTTACAAAACAAACAAAACTAATGGATGCATTATCTTTCACACCGTTCCACTTTTATTACACCATACAATGTAAAAACATACTACAACACGTCTTAAAGACATTTCTTAAAGAAATTTGACATGCAATAGGGCCTGCCGTACCTATTTATGCTCAGTAGATAGCGCTAGTGACCTTTCGTTCATCGTCCAATAGGGAAATAGCTAGTGCCTCATCATTGGACGTTCAATATTTGACAGCTGCTATGATTGGATAAAAGTATCCATTCTACATATATGCCATCTAATGTTAGCCCTCATTAACAGCAAAATGGCCAGGGAAACCAGCACGTCAAATGTTAATCTAATCCGAAAATAAGGGTAGGAAGTAGAATCGTTTGCATTTTGTTCAAAAAATTGGTTCAAAATCACAATACTCTGATAGCGTAGTAGTACGTGAAAATCAAAAATGTAATTAGTTCGTCAGTTAGATAATGAAAAAACATTAGACACATTTTTTTGGTATAAGAAAACAATACTTAGATAAAACGGAGTTAAGTTTAGAAGTGGGAGGTCGTTACGTCACGCTACCCTATAAAATGTAGTAAACCGTGACGTCACACGATATTTCAAATCAATATATCGTCGAAATTATTCAATTTTGTAAGAAAAGAAAAAATATGTTCTAAATTTTTAAAATAATCTACCACACGGACATTAGAATAAAATTTAGGATACTATACCCTATTATGTTTAATCACTAACATAATATCTGGCTAGTTTTTTTCCGGTGTCTATGTGTCTCTATGCTTAGATCTTTAAAATTACCCTACAGATATTGATGGTTTTTTAATAGAGTGATTCAAAGTCAAAGCATTTATTTCAATTAAACCATAGTTTGGTACTTTTAAAACGTCAACAAATACAAAATAAATAACAGTCTGTCAGCCAGTCAAGAGGAAGGTCAATTATTATGTAGGTACAATAACTCCAAATTAAATGCGGGCAAAAACAAGTTCTTTACAATAATATATCCACATAACATAACATCATGCCTATTATCCCCGAAGGGGTAGGCAGAGGCGCACATTACGGCACTTAATGCCACTATAAAATGTATTATGTATAGTTATGTTCAC